GAGAGAGAAACGATGACGATGCTCATTATCAACGGTTGCCGAGCAACAGTTGACCTGTTAGCGTGTGATGCTGCGGCTGACGGACCAAATAAAAGCTTCTGCAGTTTCACTTCTGGTCCGAGGAGGAGGGAGGTCGGTGCTGCCACCCTGAGCTCTGCATCCAGATGTTAATGTTTCATGTTGAATGTTCTTTATGTTTATATTTGATCTGTTCTGAGCCGAGGCTCTGATGGTACAGGATGTCATTCACAGATTGTAACAGATTAAGTTGGACCGCCGGTGATTCTTCTGGTTCTGGGACATTTGTTGAAATCTTTAAATGCCGTTTTAAGTTTTTTGTCATTTAGGTGAATCAACCTTTCAATCAATAAGAAATAGAAGGAAATGGAGACTTTATATGTTGGATGTCTTTAAAAACAGTTCAGAGTTACATCATTCTGAGTCAAATTACAGCATTGATATTGTGATGTGGACAGATTCACTGTGATAACTTCATCAAGGTGTTTTTAAAGATTGTGTTTCTGTAACTATAACTTTGTATAAATGTACCCGAGAGCTCAGTTATCCAGACAGAACTCTTTTTAGTGCTCCGTGACAGATGAGATATGGAAAACAGCACTTTTGGAGGAGAAATTCTAATCCTGGAGAGGTTAAAGCTCAGCTCCCAGTCTTTTATTCCAGCCTTCGTCCTCCTCCTCCTCGTCTACATCTTCATCGTGGTGTCCAACGTGGGCCTGGTGGTGCTGATCTTCAGGAGCAGGAGCCTCCAGCAGCCCATGTACCTGCTCTTCTGCAACATGAGCATTAACGATGTTTTTGGGGCCACGATCATCGTCCCTCATGTGCTCAGAGATCTTTTACTCTCAGACTCAGAGCGGTTCATTCGGTACACAGACTGTGCCGTTCAGGCCTTTTGTGTTCATCTGCACGCGAGCGCCTCCCACACGGTGCTCATGATCATGGCCTTCGACCGCTACGTGGCCATCTGCAGCCCGCTGCGATACGCCACCATCATGACCAGCAGGACAGTGTTGGCGCTGTCTGCGGCGGCGTGGACGGTGGCGTTGTTGATGGTGGGGATCCTCGTTGGGCTCAGCGTCCGCCTGTCGCGCTGCAGGTCAGTCGTATCGAACTTGTTCTGCGACAACGCCTCCTTGTTCAAGCTCTCCTGTGAGAGCGTCCTCATCAACAACATCTACGGCCTCGGCTACACGGTGGTGCTGCTGGGCTCCTCCCTCGGCAGCGTGACGCTCACCTACCTGAAGATCACCGTCGTGTGTCTGAGCAGCAGGAACAAGTCTCTGAACGGCAAAGCGCTGCAGACCTGCGCCACACACCTGGCCGTGTACGTGTTCCTCTTGGTGTCCGGGTTCATCATCGTCATCCTGCACCGCTTCCCTCAGCTGGCGGACCACAGGAAATTGGCGGCCGTCTTGGGACACGTAGTGCTGCCGGTCCTGAACGCCGTCATCTACGGTCTGCAGATTAAAGAGGTCCGGCAGAGGATTATGGCTTTGTTCCATAACAACAAAGTAGCTTTAATGGATGTTTAATTATACGACGTGATCAGAGGGCAAAGTGGAAATGTTGTTGCTCAGGATGCTTATAGAATATAATAATAATATGTTTCTAATGGATCATGTTTCATGGTTAGAAGTATAAATACAACACTATGGTGAGCTACCTGTTCATCAATTTGTAGTAATGAAAAAAGCTTTTATGAACAAAATTTATCAACATGTAGGAAGTTAAAGACTATATATATTTATATACACAAATATATATAAATATATATATATATATCAACTTTGTGATATATATACAAATATATATAAATATATATATAGTCTATTTTTTTCCATGTAAAGTGCTATTAATGAGGAAAGCACTTAGAAGACAGACGATACTGTACAGTCAGTGAGTCAGTTTAGCTCAACAACAAGGATCTAAACTTATATACACTATATATAGATAGAAATATATCTATATATAACTTCCGATGCATTGATGAATTGTGTTCATTAAATATATATCTTATCTTAAGGTTCCTTTCAAAACTTATTTGTGGTGAAGTCATTTCTCAAAAACATATTACGTACCAATTGATAAATATGTGAAAATGTCAGATTCTTCACACTCTGACCTTTTGGCAGTAAAAAATGAATGTCATCAAATTAGACAGTCAATTAAAAATGATGAGGAAAAAGTACAGGGGTTTCAAATGACATCAACAATGGTCTGTTAATCCATGACAGTGTTACATTTCCACATGTTTGTATGTTTGCCATTGAAATAAAATGTTGAAATAAATACTGACGTACATGAAGCACGTGACTCAACCAGCAGTATTATTTCTACAACTCGGTTAAAACTTGGGGAAAAACAGAGTACAATTCTTGGGAGACTTAAGGAACAACTGACCCGCCCAAAAAACTGCACTGCTATCAAAGAACAGTTCTAAACAAGCGGCATCCTCCGGTTCTGAAAAGTGAAGTCAGCGCTTATGTGCATTAAAGTTGCATTCTCTCTAGTGTCCAGCAGGGGGCGACTCCTCTGGTTGTATAGAAGTCTATGAGAAAATGACTACTTCTCTCTTGATTTATTACCTCAGTAAACATTGTAAACATGAGTCTATGGTCTCAATCTCTAGTTTCAAGTCTTCTTCAATACAGCATGATGTTCATTTAGTACATTATGGTCCATTTACAGCTCTGGTAGAGACCTGTCAATCACTGTGTAGCCCAGCCCTAAAGCATCCCCTGCTTTATGGTCTATTTGACTCTAAATGGACCATAATGTACTAAATGAACATCATGCTGTATATCTATGGAATCCAAACATTCCATAGATATATCACATTGAACCACACTCTCACAACCAATAAACTGAGCGTGAGTGAGAGACGGGAGACTAGGACCAATGTATCACCAACAGCAGAGATGACAAAATGTTGCAGAATAATGCCGTCTGAAAACACACAATGAATATCTGGCGACATATCTTACCATACCAACATATAGGACCACTAAAGGACAATGTTAAAGATCAACATCAAATAGCTGACTCATGACCAGCAACAAAAGGTGCATTTGCCATCTGTTGAGCAACGTTATCTTTGTAAACATTGTACATGCAATCCGAAAGTTCTTTTTGAGCCCTCAAATTAGCATTGAGCATCGTAATGGTTCCTTGGACTAGAGTCTCCCTCGCACATAGTCTCAAATATGCATCTAAAAATGCTAGCAGACTTGTCATGTCTATGCAAAGGAATGTCCCACTTTACAAAGTTTTAAAGAGATTATAATTCTGCCAAAAATATACCTGTTATCTTATCGATGTGTTCGGGGCGACAACCATCGTCCCTCGCTTGTTGAGTAACGTTTTTACTCCAATCACAGAGCGGTAC